TAGACAACTATTCTTCTCAAATACCAATATTTACTGCCCCAGTACTCTTGCAGGAGAGCTCTAGAAGATAGACATTTTATATCAAATGAATCTCTACATGGCATATTTAGCTTCTGTCATAAGAAACACCTCCCAATTAAGCATTTCATCTATGTCATGATAAAGACTTGTTAAATATGATACCTTGGAGATTTGATTTTTTTAATTTTGTAGATTTTAGAAGTAGTTATATAGTGAATGTAGATTTTAAAGTAGCAGCACATTCTCCCTTACCTTTAACACAGCAATTGCACATAGCAAACCCTGTTACCCATTCCCATATCAATTCCCCTCAATTCCATTAACCTTTTTAGTCTCATTTTCAAGGTAGAATTGTAGAAAACACCCTAAAATCTGCACAAGAAGATATAGCCATAGACACAACAACCTTCAGGCCTAGAGTTCTGGAAGGCCTCCAAGAAAAGTACATGCTCTGAGAAGGATGAAGATGAAGAAGAGGGGGTCCCAAAACACCCCCAGACTCAATTCTCGAAAGGCATGTCGGAGGGCAGAACCTGGGCGATGGCTGGACGGGGATTGGGTGGAAATCATTATAAAAATTGTAAACAGCTGTATTCGGGAGCACGTGGTGGTGGTATTCCTGGAAGCCTGGGGGCTCATTAAAGCCTTTGTATCCCTATCTTACCTCCTACCTAATTTGGCCTGGAGTATTTTTTTTTCCTCCACAGCCTTTTAGGCAACAATATATACTCATCTTATGTCAAGAAATACACACCCCTACAGGTTCCAATCTTAGTCTACTGATATACACTAAGACAATAAAGAGCTATTATTTTATTCCCAATTGTTTTGCAGCTAGCAAAAGGAAGAAAGCAGAAGGGAAACTCAGAGAATTTTGGGACTGCTCTAGGGAAGAAAATAAAAGTATAGGGCAACATTAGAAACAAAAGGTGAATAGGAAAGAGAAAACGCAAAGTAGTCATTTATTCAGAACATACTCATGATTTTCCCCAGACAGCTGTGTCAAATCTAAAAAAGAGAACACTAAAACCATTATCAGATAACAGCTATAACACATTTGATACATGGAAATCATTACTGACACCAGTCAAATCTAGTTTGCACTATGGTTAATACAAAGTTTAAAAGTAGTTGGGATGAATGTGCTAATACAGAAATTAAGGTCATAAACCAGATGCAGTTTCTCTCCCCTAGAAATTATTTTAAGTGTCAAGGCACTAAGTGTCCAAAATATTTCCATGCCACCAAACCCCTTTTTCATAGGAAAATATATCTGTGAAGTGATTTGATACTAATGTTGCACATAATGAGCCTGCACAGGCACCTTAGTAGGATTTCTGTACAATGTGAATCGAAAACAGTCTGCATTATATTTACAAACATAACCCTTGCCCCTCACACAGCAGTTGCTATGAATTAAGCTGAGAAAGTCAAAGGGGTAGAATGCAAGCCATTCACCTAAATGTATATATGTATCAGGAGCAGAAGAGCAGTTCTAGAAATACTCCAAGTTACTAAATAAAAAAGCATTTACATTAACCAGTAACAAATAATTAAAATGGTCTTCAGACAATCTGCCTCCAAAGACAAAACTTCACTTTAAAAGGGAGTGCAATCATCGCCATTGTAAGCCTTTTATCTTCCCTCTTTTCTCTGTTGTTGTATACTTTCCAGGCTTTATTCATCAATACCTCTAAATCTTTATTGGCAGGGTGTTCTATTTTCTGCAACCTTTTTCTAATATCAGGATTACATTGTCCCATTAATAACCCCACCAAATGTAGTTTACCTTCTTCTGATAATGGATCTAAGGTGGTATATTTTCTCATGGCAGCTCTCAGTCTATCTAAAAATTCTGTGGGGGTTTCATTTCGTCCCTGCCTTACATCATACAAAGCTGCCCAGTTCACTGCTTAAGGTATAGCATTTTGTAATCCCACCTTAATCAGGTCTCTATACTTCATCAGCATTCTATAATGGTCTGGGTTGTTTGGGTCCCAATAAGTTGTTGCAATGGAAAAATTTGATCTACATCTCCTGTTAAAACTCCCGTCGCAATCTGGCTTACTACCTCTCATCTAGCTGTTTTTATTACAAGTTCTTTTTTCTGTTTTTGTCAGCTCTAATAACATCAAGTCAATGTCTGTCCAATCTATTTCTTGATTCTTTGCAATTAATTCAAATCTCTTAGCTACTTTCTCAGGATTCTCCCTAAAGCACTTAGCTTCCTCCCTCCAGCTGTTCAGATCACTAGCTGAAAAGGGTGCTTTCACTTTTGCCTGTGTGCCTGTGGGTGTTATTATCTGATGCAGGGGTACTAACATATGACCCATCCCTGCTGTTTGAGCTCCTGTCCTGACCTCGCTCCTCATTCTATCATTCTGTGCCGAAGTCTGACCACAATGAGTGCTACTTATTCCCTCTTCGGGGTCTTCCACGCTCTCAGCTATACTCCGAGAGTCATCTGCCCCTAATCCTGATTCCTGGGGGCTACTTGGTCCTTGCCTAGCTGGTTCTAGTCCTCTAAAATGTGCCGACTGCAATTCCTGAGGGTCCAGGATACTATCTTCATCACTCCCTCTCTTTCCCAGCTAAAGACACCTCTGACCTATGCTACAGGCATCACAGCAATGCTTTCTCGGCTTACTATTTTTCCGATCTCTTTCCAATGCCAGCACAAGAGGGTCCTGGGGGGCTACATTAATTCCACAGCTTTTCTGCCACTCTGGTTTGTTTCTCAAAGTGAAAAATAAATCTGCGTAGATCAACTCATCCCACCTACCCTCTCTGTGGAGGAATGACATAAGCTGTAAGATGGTATTGTAGTTAATACTTCCCTGTGGGGGCCATTTTTCGCCATCATCTAAAATGTACAAAGGCCACTAATCCTGGCAATATTTTAAAAAGGTCTTTTTACTTAGATTACCACAAGGGTTTCCTCCCAGATCCTTCCAATGGCTCAATATACATCCTCCAGGAGTTTTGGAATTCATCTCCTTACTTGCACTGATTCCCATTATGAAAATAGGGGACTAAATCTAAAATATGCTAACAACCACAACAATTATACTCCAAACAATATTCACCAGCTTGCACTAATACAAAAATCCACAAGATGTCACCCTTAGACCACAAATACACCTGGCTTCTACAATAAGCCTGTATATCCATACAAATCTACAAAATGCTGCTATTAACCACTAAACGCACACTTTATAACAAATCTGTATACAAAATTCAAACCAGATGTTAAGATCCTGAACGTATTGAAAGAAACGCTGACCTATGTGCTCTACAACAGTAATATCGGACGCACCTAGTTTCCTCCAGAGTTTGATTATTTCTACATCTAACACAATACACAATACCCTCTCCCCATACAAATTTAACAAGATGTTTCTATGGTTGGTTTAGGGTGGACAGAAACTTCAGGAGTTCGGTATTGCCTCCAACACAAAGCAAGAAAACACAAAATTAGCAAAGCAATATAACACACACAAACTGCTATGACAACTGCTATTTTCCAAGAATACATAAGTGCCTTAAAACAGACAAAAGAACAACCAAAGGAAACTTAGGTGCTTTGTTTTCCCCGATATTAACACTATTAGGGCAAATACAGACGAAACCAGAACATACCAGCCCAGAGGGGATATTCCCCAGAAAGAGTGTCCTCTCCCATTCCCCATTATAGATGGAGTCCCGTCTTCGACTTAGGGGGTATCCAGAACCAGAATAACCAGAACCAGAATAAACAAAACCAGAAACCAGATATAAATACCTTTTATCAATAGGCAGTGTTCTTGTCCAGCCCCCGCAAGAGGCCACCAAAGAAGGGAGCCCCTTTGGGTATAAAGACTTAGCCAAGGGCGCCCAGGGGGTCCCGTCCTCCGAGGGTCTCCGCAGCCAGGTGGAGAAGATGTCCTGCCACACGATCACCAAATGAATCCGAAAATTCGGTATGAAAGACTGCTCAGAGACTTTTGATCTTTGAGCAGCAAGGTATTTATTGACAGTAACAGAAGCAAGCCAGCTATTGCTGGAAAAACTTGCTTAAAGGCTTCACACAAAATCAACACTTTTGTACAATTTCTTACATGATTAAATGCATATTCAAATGATTACAACATCTACCTATGCATATTAATAGCAGGCAGAGAATAGGTGGAGCTCAGGCAGAGCTTGGGGCGGTACCTCTCTTGGCACTCAATTTAGGGGGGTAGTTCTGTTCTTCCTCCCATGAGTCTGGGGTCTTAGATGGTCTTCCTCAGTTTGACCCTCCTTCTTTCCCATTGTTTTTGACCCGCTCACTGAAGCTTGGAGAAAGCCTTGGCTCCTGGCCTGTTTCTTCTATTCAAATGTTTACCTTATCCTACTGCAACTTAATTTATTACCTCTAGGCCTATTACATGTTCTTTTACCATTCTCTTAAGTTTTAGTCCATTAAATAGAACAGAGCAAGTACAGATCGTCTTGGATGTTGGTAGCTTGTCAGCAGGCTCAAATCTCTTAGTTAACTCTTTTGGGCCTGACTTTCCTGTTTCAGGAGAACTGATGCAGCTTGTACAATTTAAATGAAACTACCAGATACAACAAAATAATTAGATGACTGAAGTGTTGACCAAGGAAAAATTAGTCTTTTATTTTTAAAGTGAAAGTGTAGGTTCAAGTATGCCCCTCTGATTATAGACATGGTTATTAAATAAAAGCATAAGGCTAAAAACAAAGAACTGTGTCAGGCACCACCAGAATACATACAAATTGGAATCTACGTAGTAATGAAAATGTATGAAATTGTAACTTTACAAAACATGCGATTCAGTTGGAAGCAAGCACTATATAAAACTAAAATAGGTTTTAAAGATTTTGTAAAGAATCAAAGCATGCAACTGATTTTTTAATAATTTGTTCAGATAGCCTAAACATCCATTTAGTTATTTTTAAGTGGTTGTAACAATTTCAAACACAACAGTGCTTACCTTGGTATGGTCACACATTTTGTACTGCAATTCTGAGTGGTAATTGCCTTCTCAAGCTCATCCAGCTGTCCTGTTTTCTTTAGCTTCTTGACCAAGCTTTTCACTGCTTTTTCACACCACTTTTCCTCCTGACCATTCTGCTCACTACCAGCAGCCCCTCCAGAGCCACCAGCAGATTTTTTCCACCCCAGAAGTCTCTTCACAACTGGTGGAGTGAATGGCAATATGGATGACATGACTTTCACCAGACAGAACACTCAGCAAGCAATAAATTAGAGATTCCTGTCTGATCCCTAAAAACACAAACCAAAACAGACACATTAGAACTGAGGTTTCACACGAAACAAATACCTTCTTAGGCCTTTTCATTAAACAAATGCCATAGGACACTCCATTCTAAAACAAGTCAGATAATAGTTCAGATAAGTCTTCGTCGTGGTTAGATACTTAACCAATAAAGTTCATATGCAAGTTTGCTGCAGACTCTTTAACAGTTAGCACAGACTAAGGTTACTGTTGGATTAAACATTTAATTTTTCCTCAAGTCTTTCCTGGCTAAATCAACTCCAGAAAAATACACAAATTAACTTTAGTCTAGCTTTGCACCTAGGCTGGCAGGGTCTATTCATTTATTAAAATTTTCCACAAGTGATTGACAAATTGTATACACATATATGCACGTTCTGCCCATGTCCAAATTAATTTAGCAAGCAAAATTGGGTTTGGAATGTCATTTAGTCATGACAGCTTGACAGAATTCTTCCAACAGCCTGCCATTTCACAAGCCTCTTCTCATTGTTTGTCATGCTTTAAATTACCAATTTTTGTTCTACTGTGGACACCAATTTGAAATGTACTCATAAAGTGGGTAATAAGCTTATTCCCATCTTTCAATCTAGAGTTCAATGGCCTACAGATAATGAATCTTCTCAACTGGCAGTGCTTGAAATCATCAAATCTTTCAAAATTCATTAAAGGATAGTTGAAATCTTAGTTTGCAGGCACTTGGGTAGTAGAACTGTTTGTTTTCAACTTTGATAGCCTTTCAGTATCAACTACTTGATCAGGATGCTTATATAAAATGAAATATTAGAAGAGATGCTGAAACTTGGGCTACATTTAACATTCACTGTAATTTGCACTTCAAAAGAAAAGTTATAGCCATTTAGAAATAAACATCTTGTTTTTGAAGCTTCTATTAGGCATTAAAATATAAGCCCCAAACCAACCATGTTATTTCATGCAGACAGCTGTTGGAAATGGCTTGAGGACATAATGGTCCTATGTAGTTTTCTGGGATCAAGGAAACAGAGGTTCCAATTAATAGGGACTCAAGATTAACACTGGTAACTTTATGCAAGCTATTCAAAATAATCTATCCCAAACCAAAGAATCAGAATTTTTCAAATTAAACACTGACTAGGTGTGATGGTTCGGATTTGGCTCCCTGCCAAATGCCCAACCCCCTAGTAGCAGCCCCTCTCTTCCCCCCTTTCTACTTCCCCCAGGGCAAAGGAAAAAAAA